CTCATGCCAGGGTACTAGGTGTAATCCTGGACTCCCACCTATCCTTTCAGCTCCAAATTCAATCACTGTCCAAATCTTGTAGACTTCACCTCCGTAACAACTTTAAGATACGCCCGTTTTTAACCACCGAAACCACTAAGCAACTTATTCACTCCCTGGTTATCTCTCGACTTGACTATTGTAACTCCCTCCTCATTGACCGACCTCATCGCAGGCTATCCCCTCTTCAGTCTATCATGAATGCTGCTGCCAGACTTATCCACCTTACCAACTGTTCCATGTCTGCCACCCCTCTCTGCCAATCCCTCCACTGGCTTCCCATTGCCCAACAAATAAAATTCAGAACATTAACAATAATTCATTTATAACTCTGCCTCAAATTACATCACCAATCTTGTCTCCAAATATCACCCAACCCGTAATCTCCACTCCTCGCATGACCTCCTGCTCTCTAGCTCCCTTGTCTCCTTCTGCCATGCCTGTCTCCAGGACTTCTCCAGAACCTTCCCTATTCTCTGGAACTCTCTACCCCAATCTATTCGACTATCGCCTACTCTGCTCACTTTTAGTTGATCTCTGAAAACCTATCTCTTCAGGGAAGCCTATCCTGCCTTCAGCTAATAACCAAATTTTCTGTTCCCCCTACCAGTCCATCCCCCACAGTTATTACCTTTTGTACCACTAGCCCCTCCCTCTTAGATTGTAAGCTCCAAGGAGCAGGGCCCTCCTAACCCTCATGTATTGAACTGTATCGTTTCTGTATTGTCTCCCTTTATATTGTAAAGTGCTTAGCAAACTGTTGGCGCTGTACAAATCCTGTATAATAATAAGTATAATAATAATAATAACATAATATAAGAACATAGTATAAAGAATTACTAATTTATTGAAGGCTGCAAAACTAACTTTGCAAAGTCCTACCAAGTAATTCCTAAATGGATTTAAACCTGATGTTGCAAAATCGATCTTTTTCCATTCTTCAAGAACGACCTCTTTTAGAGCCTGGATGCTGGATGGAGAGTGATGCTCAACTTGTCTCTTCAGAAATCCCCATAGTTGTTAGATTTGGTTCAGATCAGAAGACATGCTTGGCCACGAGGGGTGTCCCTAGGGTTGGTGTCACCCCTCCAATGGTTCCCGCAGGATGGATCGGATCTGTGGATTGAGCATAATGGATCAGAGTCTGATCCATTATGCTCCCCAATCCACAGATCCGATCCATCTTGCGGGGGTCGTTGGCTTGCAACCTATATGGGGTTAATTAATTTTTCAACACCTCTCCGGGCTGCACATGCTCGAGAAGTGATGTCAGATGGAGAAGGTTCCTGCTATCGCGGCCGCATTTCCTGGTTACAGACAGGTCCCAGATCTTGCACAGCCTTACCTAGATCAGTTAACCCCGTATAGATTGCAAGCCGACGATCCCCGCAAGATGGATCGGATCTGCGGATTGGGGCGCATAATGGATCGGACTCCGATCCATTATGCTCAATCCGCAGAACCGATCCATCTTGCGCAGATCGTCGGCTTGCTTTAAAACTTTCCTTTTCGTGGAGCTCGTGGAGAGGGTCCGGTGTCACCCCGTGTGATAGGTGTCACCCGGTGCAGCGTGCATCCGCCTAGGGACGCCACTGAATCACTTTCATCCTGTTCTTCTTCAGAAATGCAACAGTGGCCTAAGATGTGTGTTTTGGAGCATTGTTATGCTGGAAAAGTGCAGGACGACCAAGGGCATGGAGTGATGGTAGCATCTTCTCTTTCAATATAGAGCAGTACATCTGTGAATTCATGATACCATCAATGAAATGCAGCTCCCCAATACCAAAAGCACTCATGCAGCTCCACAGAAGGACACTGCCACCACCATGTTTTGCTGTAGTCATCATGCATTTTTCTTTGTACTCCTCACCTTTGGAGCGCCATACAGTTTTGAAGCCATCAGTTCCAAAAACATTTATCTTGGTCTCATCACTCCATCTACTTTTTCAGCATGGGCCTTGGCAAGTTCTAGGTGGGCTTTTCTGTGCATGGGCTTTAGCAGAGGCTTCCTTCGTGGATGACATCCATGCATGCCATTCCCCTCCAGTGTACATCATATTGTGTCACAGGAAACAATCACCTCAGTTTGGCTTTCTACTTTAGCTAACTGCATTGAAATTGCATGGTTGTTTTCTTCAACCTTTCTCATCAGAAAATGCTTCTGTCGAGATGTTAATTGCCATGGACGGCCTGGATGTCTCTGTGAGTTCCAACTTTGTTAAATTTTTGTATCACTTTTGCTACAGTATACTGACTGATAAGTAAAGCTTTGCTGATCTTGTAGCTTTCACCTTTCTTGTGTAAAGAAATTATTTTCTTTCCCAGGCTTTGTGACATTTCTCTTTCATGTGGTGCCATTGCTGAAAGCATAAAATGGGAAGGGGTTTTCTTTGTTAAGCAACACCCTTTTGTTTAGATGGATATTTAATCCCTATTATATCCTCTACAATTGCACCAACGCATAGGTCAACTAAGTACTTTGATAGTGCATTTTGAAATGCGGTAGTAGCTCCATGAGCCTGACATCTAGGGTGAGCCAGCATGTTCGTTTATACTTTTGATTATTATGTCCATTGTGTGGATGTATGTCATAACTCTGTTGTTTATGTATATTCTTTTTGATATATTGTAGACTGTATTGCGGTTGAAGCTTTTCTCTCTCTCCCCTGAAGAAGCCCTTGTTGGGCGAAACCTGTATGGAATTACTGCAACAATACAGCCAAGCTTCAATTTTTGTTTTTACAGTACTTTAAGTATTTACTCTTTTTCTTTCCTTTTTTTTTGTAAGATTAAATAAAAAGTTATTGTGGTTTTTAAATCTGTTTATCATTGTAGATTTGCACCCTGAAAATACCACACTATCTAGTTCAACATTTTCAACTCCCTTTTATAATCAACTGTCTGCTGGACATCTGTATAATGAATAATTATACTCACCTGTAGGTGAATTCTTGTTAATTAGGATTTTGTTGTCTAAAATTTAGCTTTTCTCCTAAGACTGTAATTGGGGTGTATTAATTTTTGCAACATGGTTTTGAATGAAAAATTAATTGGATAGGAAAAATACTTTTTTTGCGTGTGCAAATGAACAAATCTTGTTTGCAATCAATGGCCGCATTTGTGGGAGTATTTATAGTATAGTGTCCCAAAGAAAATGTTGATTCGGAAAGGAAAGGAAAGTAAAGGTTTTCTGACAAATCTGTTGGGGTGTACTCATTTATGCTGAGCACTGTGTGTGTGTATATATACAGTCAGGTCCATAAATATTGGGACATCGACACAATTCTAACATTTTTGTCTCTATACACCACCACAATGGATTTGAAATGAAACAAACAAGATGTGCTTTAACTGCAGACTGTCAGCTTTAATTTAAGGGTATTTACATCCAAATCAGGTGAACGGTGTAGGAATTACAACAGTTTGCATATGTGCCTCCCACTTGTTAGGGGACCAAAAGTAATGGGACAATTGGCTTCTCAGCTGTTCCATGGCCAGGTGTGTGTTATTCCCTCATTATCCCAATTACAATGAGCAGATAAAAGGTCCAGAGTTCATTTCAAGTGTGCTATTTGCATTTGGAATCTGTTGCTGTCAACTCTCAAGATGAGATCCAAAGAGCTGTCACTATCAGTGAAGCAAGCCATCATTAGGCTGAAAAAACAAAACAAACCCATCAGAGAGATAGCAAAAACATTAGGCGTGGCCAAAACAACTGTTTGGAACATTCTTAAAAAGAAGGAATGCACCGGTGAGCTCAGCAACACCAAAAGACCTGGAAGACCACGGAAAACAACTGTGGTGGATGACCGAAGAATTCTTTCCCTGGTGAAGAAAACACCCTTCACAACAGTTGGCCAGATCAAGAACACTCTCCAGGAGGTAGGTGTATGTGTGTCAAAGTCAACAATCAAGAGAAGACCTCACCAGAGTGAATACAGAGGGTTCACCACAAGATGTAAACCATTGGTGAGCCTCAAAAACAGGAAGGCCAGATTAGAGTTTGCCAAACGACATCTAAAAAAGCCTTCACAGTTCTGGAACAACATCCTATGGACAGATGAGACCGAGATCAACTTGTACCAGAGTGATGGGAAGAGAAGAGTATGGAGAAGGAAAGGAACTGCTCATGGTCCTAAGCATACCACCTCATCAGTGAAGCATGGTGGTGGTAGTGTCATGGCGTGGGCATGTATGGCTGCCAATGGAACTGGTCCTCTTGTATTTATTGATGATGTGACTGCTGACAAAAGCAGCCGGATGAATTCTGAAGTGTTTCAGGCAATATTATCTGCTCATATTCAGCCAAATGCTTCAGAACTCATTGGACGCTTCACAGTGCAGATGGACAATGAGCCAAAGCAGACTGCAAAAGCAACCAAAGAGTTTTTTAAGGGAAAGAAGTGGAATGTTATGCAATGGCCAAGTCAATCACCTGACCTGAATCCGATTGAGCATGCATTTCACTTGCTGAAGACAAAACTAAAGAGAAAATGTCCCAAGAACAAGCAGGAACTGAAGACAGTTGCAGTAGAGGCCTGGCAGAGCATCACCAGGGATGAAACCCAGCGTCTGGTGATGTCTATGCGTTCCAGACTTCAGGCTGTAATTGACTGCAAAGGATTTACAACTAAGTATTAAAAAGTGAAAGTTTGATTTATGATTATTATTCTGTCCCATTACTTTTGGTCCCCTAACAAGTGGGAGGCACATATGCAAACTGTTGTAATTCCTACACCGTTCACCTGATTTGGATGTAAATACCCTCAAATTAAAGCTGACAGTCTGCAGTTAAAGCACATCTTGTTCGTTTCATTTCAAATCCATTGTGGTGGTGTATAGAGCCATAAATGTTAGAATTGTGTCGATGTCCCAATATTTATGGACCTGACTGTATATATATATATATATATATATATATATATATTATATATATATATACAGAGGCGGACTGACAACTCATGGGGCCCCCGGGCAATAGGGGATCATGGGGGCCCCTGTGTCCTTGCCCAAACTCAAAAAAGCCTATGAAAAAGGTACCAAGGGCATCTCATGGGGCCCCCTACTGACCCCGGGCCCTCGGGCATTGCCCTTGTTTCCAAATGGTCAGTCAGCCCCCTGTATATAAATATATATATATCACATGGCAGCAACTCAATGCATTTAGGTATGCAGACGTGGTGAAGACGACTTGCTGAAGTTCAAACCGAGCATCAGAATGGGGAAGAAAGGGGATATAAATGAATTTGATTGTGGCATGGTTGTTGGTGACAGATGGGCTGGTCTGAGTATTTCAAAAACTGCTGATCTACTGGGATTTTCATGTACAACCATCTCTAGGGTTCACAGAGAATGGTTCGAAAAAGAGAAAATATCCAGTGAGCTGCACTTTTGTGGATGAAAATGCCTTGTTGATGTGAGAGGTCAGAGGAGAATGGGCAGACTGGTTTTAGATGGTAGAAAGACAACAGTAACACAAATAACCACTTATTACAATCAAGGTATGCAGAATACCATCTCTGAATGCACAACACATCGAACCTTGATGACACCGGGTGCCACTCCTGTCAGCTAAGAACACGAAACAGAGGCAACAATTCGCACAGGCTCACCAAAATTGGACAATAGAAGAAAGGGAAAACGTTGCCTGGTCTTATGAATCTCGAATTTCAGTTGCGACATTCAGATGGTAGGGTCAGTATTTGGCGTAAACAACATGAAAGCATAGATCCTTCAATGGTTCAGGCTGCTGGTGGTGGTGGTGTTATGGTGTGGGGGATATTTTCTTGAAACACTTTGGGCCCTTTAGTACCAAGTGAGCATTGTTTAAACGCCACGGCCTACCCGAGTATTGTTGCTGACCATGTCCATCCCTTTATGCCTCCAGTGTCCCCATCTTCTGATGGTCCTTCCAGCAGGATAATGCACCATGTCACAAAGCTCAGGTCATCTCAAACTGATTTCTTGAACATGACAATGAGTTCACTGCACTCCAATGACCTCCACAGTCACCAGATCCCAATCCAATAGAGCACCTTTGGGATGTGGTGGAAAGAAAGATTTGCATCATGGATGTGCAGCCAACAAATCTGCAGCAACTGCGTGATGCTATCATGTCAATATGGACCAACATCTCTGAGGAATGTTTCCAACACCTTGTTGAATCTATGCCATGAATAATTAAGGCAGGTCTGAAGGAAAAAGGGGGTCCAACCGCTACTAGCAATGTGTACTTAATAAACTGGCTGGGGAGTGTATATACTGTGTACACAATTAGTTGAAGAATATGTAAACCCAACATTTCATATTCCTGCTATGTGCCTACTGTACCATGTACTTGTATGAAAAAAGTATCCTGTTCTCTTTTTATTGCTTCCTTTGTGTGAAATCCCTGGTGTTCCTGCCAGTCCCTCTGCTTTCCTATTAAAAAATGACCACACTAGCCATGAGAGCACAGCCTGGTCAGTTCTCTAGCTGTGCTGAGAACTCAGCCTGCTCTCCTCCAATGATCAGACTTGTTCTGACATACCCCTCCCCCCAGCACAGCCATTCACTGGGAAGACCAGTCTAATGCTGTTTTATCCTCCTCCAGAGCTTCTTATGCAGCTGAGAACAGAGGGTACGTGATCTATCCCTTTTGGGTGGAGCTCCACTTTAAATGTGTTAGTAGATATTCCTTTTTAGGTATCTATTTTTCAGTTTTTTTGCTTTCTTGTCACCTGGTGATCCGCCCAGTAACACACGTCCTATCTTAGGGTGGCTACACTCTGGATGGAGGAGCAATGGAGACACCTTTGGACAGCAACTTTGTCAATTTATGGAAAGGGTAGTGGTAAATGTACAAGCAGATTTATTTTTGGACTCCAACTAACACATTTTAAAGCGGAGTTCCAGTCTCCTTGGCACTTTTCTACAAAAAGCACCCCCGTGATTCTCTTCAGTTGTACGACATAATTAGGACAGTGTTCTAAGTGTATGTCTTTTGCTTACTTGTAAATATGACATTCCTCAGCAGGACCCCAGCAGAGAGTCCATTACTAGTGTGGGCATCTGAAGCCTGTCCTATTTCTTTTCTGGGATTTGGTGCAGCTGGCTACCCATGATCTTGCACCTGCGTTGTAAGGACACAGCGTGGCGCACTGTGTTGTTTACAGGTTGTAACAATGGCGGCAGACACTCCTGTCCCAGTGTTATGGTAACCTGTCAATCAATTCTCCTGATCAGATAGCTTCCTGTCAAGAAATACCGCAAGACTTAACCATTAGACTTCCCTCCTGGGATAGATTACGCCGATATCCCAAGATTCTTAGGAAATCGCCTAGGCGGTAAGACCAGAAGTACAGAATACAGATAGAAAAAAAAGCTATTTATGCAGCTCTACCCCCTTAGGAGTCACTAGAGATTTGGGTCCCCCTATAGCCCTGCACAGCTAGGCAACACACATTTTCACATAGACTTTGTTTTTGTGATTTTATTAAGCAAATTCTAACTTGGATAGGGTAAGGGGTGTATGGGATGCCCAATGGAACTGTAACTGAGGACAATCTTCTTGAACTATGTACAAGTCTTTATACAAAAATCCTCTTCTTGGAGATCTAGCCAGCATCTCCAGTAGTACCACCCCAGACCCCAGATTCTCCTAATCCAGCTGTCCTGGGTGAATCCCTGAGCAGGGGATTCAGTGCCTGTCACTTTAAAAGAAGACAGTCCCAGGTAGTTGCTAATGTGGTTTCCCACCAGAGTGCTCCTTCCCCTATCTGGCCCAGGTGGTGCAGGTCTACTCACTCAGTTCTTCTCCTGTGTTGCTGGTGGGTCGGTGGCTGCTACAGGCCATCTTAGTGGGCCAGCCCTTTCCTTCCTCAGGGGTGCTCCTCTTTCAGGGGGCCGGTGAAGTCCCAAGCTTTCCTCCTTCCAAGGTTCTCCTGCCTGAAGGTGAGCCCCTCTCCCATCTGGGCCTCCTCCCAGGCTCCTGCTCTCCAGCCTTGCTTCCTCTCCATCTTTCACCTGAACTTTCCCTCCCTGCTGAGCCGGCTCAGTTATTCCTAAAGGCTGTCCTTGCCCCTTGCCTAGCCTCCTGTTGGGGATTGGCCAGGATCCTCAAAGAGTACAGACCAGCCACTCCTCATATCCGCCCACTGCTTCTAGATCTTTCTCCAAAGTCCTAGAGCAGGGGGAAATTCTAGAGAGCTAATCTGCAGAGCCTCTTAGTTCTATCCTATTACAGACTGTTCTGCGGGTGGGCATTATGTGGCAAGGATCATGAAAAAAAAAAGGTGGAACTCCGATTTAAGCTGTTACAGCAACGGTTTACAGCAACAGCTCACAGTGTGCAGTGAAATCAGAGTAAGCAATTATGTTACAGAAGAGAGGAGTCTATACAACTGTGCAAGACAAAAAGCCAGGCTGAAGTTCAGCTTTAATGTTCAAGATCCATTTATTTATATAACAAAATATTCTACCTGGAACCCTATTATCGTGGACAACGCATTCCATTTCTGGACACTTTGATAGATCAGGCCCTGTTCTGTTTCATTGTAGGCTACAAAAGGCGTATGATCACATAGCCCAGCTATTCTGTGGGGGATTAACCTTTATAACAGAATAAATAATGGCCAATGTGTTACAAAGGAAGGGAAAGGCATGTCTGTAGGCTGAGACTGTACAGTATTAATGGAAACACACATGTACAGTAACATAGAAAATTCTGGATCTTTCACAGATGAAAAGTTTCGGCCTTCGGGGTTCATGGTGGGTTCATACTTACAGTAAATGTAATTAAACAGAGGGGCAGATGGACGCTGAACATTATCACTTGGCACAGTCAGTAAATCATAGAGATAAAATACGTGCTGAGTCTGAACATGGAAGAGGCCACTTATAATGGATTCCAACATTTCCTCCTGTCGGATCATCAGTCACTTGGAGGAGGTCTGATATGAAGTATTAGCGAATGTAAAGTCAGATCACGGTGTTACAGAGTGAAACAATGCACACATCACTTCTATGTCTTAAAGAGAACTTCTCATGACAGCAGATACCCGTCACAGCTCCCAACAGGGGCGGACTGACAACGAATGGGGCCCCTGGGCAATAGGGGATCATGGGGCCCCTGTGTCCTTGCCCAAACTCAAAAAAGCCTATGAAAAAAAGTACCAGGGGCATCTCATGGGGCCCCCTACTGACCCCGGGCCCTCGGGCAGTGCCCGAGTTTCCAAATGGTCAGTCCGCCCCTGGCTCCCAATCATTACTGGAGACTTCTGCTTTCCTGATTCCGTAAGGTTCATGATGGAGCAGGCCTTCGTATATCCAGTTACCTGCCTACCCTAAATTAGGCAATAACTGAGTGGGAACCTTGGACGTTACAGGAAAGAACCATTCTGACAATTTCTCTTTAATGCAGAACTTCACTTAAAAAATTAAAGTGAAAATGAATTGCCTGGCAAAAATGAAAATCAAAGAATGCAGCTTTTGCTGTAATATTCACCCTCAATCCATGGCTGTTTCTTTGCATAACTTTTATTTACCACTAGATGTCACCAGTCTTCTAAGCCCGTGTCAATCAAACCCATTTCCTTTGAGCCCAGGCTGTCACGGGCACACCCCAGGAGATGGTTAGATTTCAATCCAAGGCTGGAGGAGATTAAGTATCCTTGAGGTCCCCCAACCAACTGGAAGATATTTGTCGGTCATACAATTGGCTGCTTTTGTGTCCTCATTTCATATCTACTGTATAACAAAAAGAATCATGGAGGCAGAAGCATTGGACGTATTAGGCAACAGTAAAGGCAACTTAACCATTCTGTTACTACTTCATCTGTCCCAGACTAAAGGCCCATACACATGATAAGAAAATTGTATGAACATTTTCGTACGTGGAGCAGGGGCGGACTGACAACTCATGAGGCTCCCGGGCAATAGGGGATCATGGGGCCCGTGTCCTTGCCCAAACTCAAAAAAGCCTATGAGAAAGGTACCAGGGGCATCTCATGGGGCCCCCTACTGACCCCGGGCCCTCGGGCAGTGCCCAAGTTTCCAAATGGTCAGTCCGCCTCTGACATGGAGTGATCGTACAATAATCTGATCGCTAATATACAGCTTTCAGGAGCCGATTCCAATAACCAAAGGGAGAAGCGCAAACATTTTTCTCGTACGATTTTCGTTTAATCAGTACAGTAGTCATTCAGAAATACAAATATAATTCATAAAATAAATGTACAATACAATACACAACATTAGTTTCGAAATGTTATTCGGTTGTACAAGAATTTTCGTAAGTTGAGTAACATCTTCATTTTTGATATGGAGACTAGCATTCAAAAAAGACGATCATTCCTCCGATATTCTCTTCATGTGTACTGGGCATTAAAGTGATACAAAAGGCTATAAAAGAATTAAAAAAGAGGTTATACTTACCTGCTCTGTGCAACAATATTGCACAGAGAGGTGACTTTCCTCATCATCTTGCTGTCCATGTTGCATATCTCTCAGCACAGGACTCCACAGAGCCCAGCAGTGGCAGTTGGCTGTCTGAGGGTTTACATGGGGTGATCAGAGCGGAGGTCACAGAGCAGCGGCTCACATGCGCACCACTAAAATGTCATGTGGTGACGTCCAGCCCTGCAGAGCAGATGTTTTTACATCACTGAGGAGACATAGACTCCGATCATTCTCTGTGCAGGCAAGCAGAGGCTTCCTCTGCTATGTATTATGTATATTCATTCTAGGAACAGCAAACTGCTGTCTACTTTATTAGATTCAGCTTGTAAAAATAAAGGCTTAATGGTCCTTCATGCAGCTCATTACTAAAGCAGTTCAGAAAGTTTGGAGTTTAAGTGATACACTTTATTGGCTAACTTTAGCACTTCCGCCTGGCAGTACTCGGGTCGTTGGTTTGAATCCCAGCCACGGCACCACCTGCCTGGAGTTTGCATGTTCTCCCTGTGCCTGCGTGGGTTTCCTCCGGGTGCTCCGGTTTCCTCCCACACTCCAAAGACATGCTGGTAGGTGAATTGGCTCCTGTCTAAATTGGCCCTAGTCTGTGTATGTATGAATGTGAGTTGGGGACCTTAGATTGTACACCCCTTGAGGGTGAGGGACTGATGTGAATGTACAATATATATGTAAAGCGCTGCATAAATTGATGGCGATATATAAGTACCTGAAATAAATAAACTTTAAGCATATCTAAATCTTAAAAACAAACATTTTAATGCATTACAGCTTACCAATTCCAATTACCAGAAATGAAGGGAAGCCTAAAAAAAAAGAAAACTAATACAGCCACCACACCTAAGGGTTGGTAAGCTGCAATATATTATGAGGAGTATTCAAGTCAAGCCAGGACTTTACATTTTACAGGTATAAAAGGGATGCTAGCGTGGCGGTACTACATGCAGTAGGTGTGGTAGGTGTGTCCTATTACTGATAGGCCGGGCTCATGTTGCGGACCAGTCCAGAGACCGTTAATCAAGCTGGTGGACAACAGTGTTAGTGCATGCATGGAACAGCGTGTGATGATCAGGGCCGGATCTAGCCTGTCTGATTTGGGGTGCAGTGAAAAATGCCAGGGGGGCAAAGGATAGGGTCAGCAGTTTGTAGAACAGTGTACAAGGGCCATTAGATTGTAGGGCAGTGTACAGGGGCCATTAGTTTGTAGGGCAGTGTACAGGGGCCATTAGATTGTAGGGCAGTGTACAGGGGCCATTAGTTTGTAGGGCAGTGTACAGGGGCCATTAGTTTGTAGGGCAGTGTACAGGGGCCATTAGTTTGTAGGGCAGTGTACAGAGGCCATTAGTTTGTAAGGCAGTGTACAGAGGCCATTAGTTTGTAGGGCAGTGTACAGGGGCCATTAGTTTGTAAGGCAGTGTACAGGGGCCATTAGTTTGTAGGGCAGTGTACAGGGGCCATTAGTTTGTAGGGCAGTGTACAGGGGCCATTAGTTTGTAGGGCAGTGTACAGGGGCCATTAGTTTGTAGGGCAGGGTACAGAGGCCATTAGTTTGTAGGGCAGTGTACAGGGGCCATTAGATTGTAGGGCAGTGTACAGGGGCCATTAGTTTGTAGGGCAGTGTACAGAGGCCATTAGTTTGTAGGGCAGTGTACAGAGGCCATTAGTTTGTAGGGCAGTGTACAGGGGCCATTAGTTTGTAGGGCAGTGTACAGGGGCCATTAGTTTGTAGGGCAGTGTACAGGGGCCTTAGTTTGTAGTGTACAGGGGTAGGGCAGTGTACAGTGGGTTATCTGGTCAGTGTGCAGTGGTTATTATTGCAGAGGACAGGGGTCAACAGCACAGAGGACAGGGGTTAGCAGGGCAGGGTACAGGGGTCAGCATGATGGAAGACAGTGGTCAGGAGAGCTGAGGACAGGGCAATTAAGAGATTTTTGCCTCCCCACATAGCACGTAGCTGAGATCGGTATCCCTCCACACATGTGTAGCTGGCTACTGCAGCTGCCAATCCAGTCAGGGAATTTCACAGGTCAGAACTGCAACTGCAGCCAGCTACACATTGTGTTAGGGAATCTGATCTCAATGCCGGGACAAGATCATCTAGCAAACTTCACCCCCCCCTTCCATCTATCCCTCCAAAAAAAACAGCACTAAGCAACACGTTCACCCCCTAAACAAGCCCAAATTCTACACAACCAAAAATGCAAAAATTCCCCATCCTCACAGTCCAAGTCCTCCTCCCAGCAAAAATCTTTGCCCCCCAATCCCACCTTCCATCTCAAATCCCCCCAATTTCCCACAAATCTTCCATATTCCCCCTCCTAATACAAATTATCTCCCAAATCCCCCCCCCAGTACAAATCCCCCAAATCCCCACTCCTAGCACAAATCCTCCCCCCTAAACCCCCCTCCTAGTACAAATCCTTCCCCCAAATCCCTCACCTTAGTACAAATCCCCCCCCAATCTCCCTTCTTAGCACAAATCCTCCCTCTTAATTCCCCCTCCTAGTGCATATTCTCTCCCCAATCCCCCCAGTTCAAATTCCCACTCCTAGTGTAAATGCTCTCCCCAAATCTCCCCTCGTAGTACAAAGCCTCCCCCCTAAACCCCCCTCCTAGCACAAATCCTCCACCAAATCCCACCTCTTAGTACAAATCCTCCCTCTTAATTCTCACTCCTAGTACAAATTCGCTCCCCAATCTTCCCCAGTACAAATCCCCCCAAATCCTCACTCCAAATGTAAATCCTTTCCCCAAATCTCCCCTCGTAGTAAAAATACGTCTTCCTAAACCCCCTCCTAGCACAAATCCCACCTTCTAGTACAAATCCTCTCCCCTAATCCCCCCTCTTAGTACAAATCCTCCCCGTTATCCCCCCCTAGTACAAATCCCCCCTCTCCTAGTGTAAATGCTCTCCCCAAATCTCCCCTCCTAGCACAAATCCTCCACCAAATCCCACCTCTTAGTACAAATCCTCCCTCTTAATTCTCCCTCCTAGTACAAATTCGCTCCCCAATCTCCCCCAGTACAAATCTCCCCAAATCCTCACTCCAAATGTAAATCATCTCCCCAAATCTCCCCTTGTAGTACAAATACTTCTTCCTAAACCCCCTCCAAGCACAAATCCCACCTTCTAGTACAAATCCTCTCCCCTAATCCCCCCTTAGTAGAAATCCTCCCCGTTATCCCCCCCTAGTACAAATCCCCACGCCCACGCAAAGCTCCCTCCTAGCACTAATCCTCCCCAATCCCCCCCCAGCACTAATCCTCCCCAATTTCCCTCTCCTAACACAAATCCTCCCCAATCCTGCCTAACACATCCCCAATTACCCTTACCAGCACAAACAGCCCCCCCCTCCCCCAATCTTACATGTGGAAACTACAGGAGTAGTGAGGAAATGCAGGTTCTCCGTGATCTCCTTCCTCCTGTCATAACAATGGTCCTCCATATAGAAGGGTATACAGGATCGCTCTTAGATCTGACAGTACACGGCTTGATTACCCGCCCTGCCAACATTTCCAGGAGCTGAGCAGTGATCCTGTGTAACTTTCTGTATGGAGGATCGCTGTTATGACAGGAGGAGGGAGATCACAGAGAAGGCCGCATCTCCTCCCCAATCTCTCCTCCGCCACGGTCACTTCTCCTGTCCAGACTGTGTACTTTAGTTCACTGCGGCTAGCTCTCAGTGCGGGGATGAGGGGGAAGCTCAGCGGTCATGGGCATAATATGCATAGAGGGCACCCAGCTTGGGGGGGAGGGGCACAACTAAAATATGGGGGGGGCACAGCCCTCCCCAGCATCCCCCTTGATCTGGCAATGGCGGTGGTGAAGTTTCTTGTGAACGAAGGCGTAAAACCTGCTGATATCTATGGAAGACTTCAAGCACAGTGCAGTGATGAGACGCTCAGCAACAGTAAGGCTACGTTCACACTAGCGTTGTGTGCAGGAGGCAGAGAGTAGTTTGGGAAGCATTTTTACCGCTTCCCAAACGCCTCTGTCATTTCTGCACATTACAACACATGGTGCTGTTCTAACGGGGGAGCGTTTGCGTCGTGGCAAAACGGACGCCTCTGGTCGAGTCAGGAGGCGTTGAAGCCTCCTATTCTAGTCTATGGTGCCTCTCCGCAAACGCCCGGCGGTTGCGACACGGTTGTGGGGCATTTGCGGAGCGGTAACACCATTCAAACTGCATTACAGGCATTTGTGGGGCGTTTTTTAAACACTCGGCAAATGCCTAGCAACCTCCGCTAAACCGCGCATGCGGCGTTTGCGGAGCATTAAAAAACGCTCCGCAAACGCCGGACCAACGCTTGCCAAACGCTATAGGGGCATTTGGCAAGCGTTGGTAAAACAGCCAAGTGTGAACGAGCCCTAAGACATTTGATTGGTGTAAATGTTTAAAATATGGGCGTCCGTCCGTCAGTGATGATCCCGGGCGTGGCGGTTCCCAGCCCACAGCAGTCATTCCTGTGAACATTCAGCGCATGGAGCGTCTGGTCCTGGATATTCAACACATGAAATTACACAAGATACGAATCTTTCTGTGGGAACAGTGAACACAATGATGATGAAGTGAAGCCCGCTGTCCTAGGATGGTTCAGGTGTACTGACAAATCTTTCCATACCGAAGCTTTCCAGGCATTAGTTAAATGCTGGGATAAGTGTATAAATGTAGCAGGAGAGTATATCAAAATATAAATGCAGCTTCCACTCCTTGAAATGTGTTATTTTTATT